ATACAGTAAAGAAGTGATATTTTACAGTTGATTTCTATTTCTGTACCCTACCTAAAAAGTTCGGCCTACATGAAAAACAAATTTCATTTGTATATGTATGTTCTATTGTATTTATTTGTGCTATTGCTCATAATTTGATTATTTGTTATTATTTTATTACTCGCTGTCTGACTAAAGCTATAGTTTTTGGTGTCATACCCTTATTTATTAAGGTTACATGGATCAAAAACAACAAAAACTATAACTAGGCCCATTTTATATTCTTTATTAATTTTCTACTTTGCTTTTTCGAATATTTCCTTTCATTTTCTGTGTAATATTGCTGTTTGTGAATGTAAAAGCTCTGTAAAGATATCAAAGTGCATGATAAATGCACTGATATTTAAATGCATTATTGTCTCCAAAAGAAAGAATCGATTCTGAACTGCCAAAATGAGTCGTCAGGAATTCCGTTCTTAATTCCATAACATTCATAGGTAACAATGTACCAAATTTGCATAATTCTCACCTATGTTCTTCATTGGCTGCCCGTGAACAACGTCTGCTTTTCCCTCTTTCAAACACTGTAACCTCAGCAATACAACAGCAGTTTAACCTTTGACGACTGCTTCTCAAATCTCAGCGAGGTCAACGTGTTTTATATTTGTGTAAAGAAGGAACTAAGGTCGTTTTAAGTCAGTTTTCCTTTTAGGAAAAGTGATAGTACACAAGCTTTGATTTGAAGGTTTGCAACAGTGTTAAAGATATTAAATGTTGATTGTTAGAAGGAAAACGGTATTTTTCGAGTGTCATCACCATTTTCCTCTGATCCCAGAACAGACTCCAGGAGATCTGGATCTCGAGCACCAGATGAGCCATGTTAATGAGTTGTATTGGTTTGCATGTGAACCGTTCCGCCTGTTCTCCTGAGGCGGCCTCCCTTCACAGTAGCTCTGCCTCTGTGGAAACATGGAGGGAAAGCAGCCGGAGAGGGGCGGAACAAATAAACACGGCCTCTAATGAGGCAATCCAAACCAGTGTCGTGCCCGTACCCACACACGGGCCAAATCCACACAGGTCCTCATCTGGGACAAATGTGAAGTTTACACTGCCGTGTTAAGGAGAAAGTCAGTGATCCGATTCACACAGCTTGGTAGAGACTCTTTAATGTGCCCAGAGAAGTGTTCCCTGTAAGGAAGTCTCCAGCCTTCCCGTGCTGATTTTTTTTGGAAGAGTCCCCAGTTATGACTATAAATTGTAGTAGACCACGAAAGTACTCTTTGTTTTCATTCCTTAGCTCTCAAATGGAGTCGCAGCAGGAGTGTTTTGAAGGGGACATTTCATGAAAAGCTTGTTTTTTTTTTTTCATGTGAAATCCTCTATAGTTCACAACCCCGGTCTGCACTGAACATTTATTGAAACTAAACTGCAAAAATGAGGCATTCAGATGATGTCATGGCTATGATGTCACAACCATGAGCAAAAACAAAAAAACAAAAACAAATCCCAAAACCATATGACTCACTTTCTTCTGAATTCTTCATGCTGTTTTTTTACAAACAAGAAAAGCATGATCAGGACTTTATTCACTTTTAAACAGTCTTTGTGTGAGGAATTATTTGATATTTAGTAGGGGTGGGGGAAAAAACGATTCTTTGATGCATCGCGATGCGGACGTGGACGATCCTGAATAACTTTTATACTTTTAAAGCAAAGTATTTATAGTCACACACACAAAAGATTCAGATAATCGATTTGTAACATTATAAATGTCTTCACTGCAATTTTTGATCAACTTAATTTATCCTTGATGAATAGAAGTATAGATTTTTTTTTATTTCGCCCAAAAAATTAAATAAAAATTCTTAGCGACTCCAAACTTTTGAAAGGTATTGTTTAATGTTACAAAAGCTTTCTATTCCAGATAAATGCTGTTCTTTTGAATTTCACAATTGCTTTTGATAATGGGTTGCCTAAGTAGTAGACAACAAGCATGTTTGCATGTCCTCACTAACCATCATTACATTTTCATTGAATATCAAACTAATAAAAAGTGCAATTAATACTAAAATGTTGCTGCTAATATAGTCATATGTTGGTCTAGTGTATTTTCGTTGACTGTTGTAAAATGGAAAATCAATAATCGAGAATCGTTAATAATCGAAAATCGACTGTAATCGAATCGGGACTTCAATAATCGTAATCGAATCGGGAAATCAGTCAGATTAACCACCCCTAATATTTAGCTCTTATGTACTCTACATTTTAAAAGTTTGGGGTCAATAAGATTAGAACAATTTTTAGTCTCTAATGCTCATCGAGGTTCTATTTATTTGATAAAAAATGCTATAAGAAATAGGGCTGGGTATCGATTCACATTTCAATTTCGATTCGATTTCGATTCACAAGCTCTCAGTTCGATTCGATTTCGATTCTCGATTCCTGATTTGATTCTCGATTCGACTATAATGAAGATGTAATACAAATCCTATATTTATAAAAAAGAACAGTGGACATAAGTTTACTAGTGGTTAATTAATACAAGGAAATTAAGAGCCATAAACCTGTATATAAAACTCATTTTATTTTAGGTACACTAAATGCATACAAAGAATAAACAGGATTTTGATGCAATATGCAAAAAAAGTCAGAACAGTCGCACAGCTTGATCAAACAGTATCATGCTATTTTATGTTTAAGATAAATATAGATAAATAAATATATAAATATTGATCTTACCTAAATGGTAATGTAATTTTTTTGTTTATTTTTGTTTTTTGTTTTTGTTTTAAGAATTTATGTATGGAAGCTTGATTTCAATCTTTGAATTAAATTGAAAAAAGTAGCACAAATAAATACAATAGAATAAAGACACAAATTAAGAGACATTTTGGGGTAGTTTTTTGGGTATGTCAGAAATACTACAGAAACTGAATAAAGTAATCCAATGTAAAAGAACACTGGATAGTCTTTTTAGTCCAGACTGAATTAAATACAAAGGCTATTAATTCTGATTGCTATAATTAATACTATATTCTGTTGTTATGACAACAGAATTAATGACCGACACAAATGGCTGCATTCACTTTAAGAACTAGTTTCATTAACTTTGTCACACGCGTTTAATGCTAATTTAAGACATTACCGACTGTCTATACGAGGTTACTCACCAAGACCAGAGTTTTGACATAATGTCGCGTGTTTTAACTGTTAAAGTGATATAATCCAGGGATAAAACTTTTGTTTTTGGCGAGCTGTTTGTGAGGCAGATTTAGGCTGTACTGTGCACGCAGTGAAAGACATCTCTGAGAGTGCGCGAACATTGCTTGTAAAACTTAGAAAGACGTGAAAATGATAAACGTTAGTTACGATGCAATGCTGGCCCGATTGTTAAGTGAATATTCCATCATGTGCTGACTGCTAAACGCGTGTGTGTATCAACAGCTGCAACGCTTGCCGCTTGCCTAGTGCGGAGAGACGAGAAGATGCAGCACCGCGTCTGCGAGCCCTTTATATGGAAAAAATCGATTCGTGGCCGTTGAGAATCGATTTTGAATCGAAAACATTTTAAAAAACGATTAATCGAAAAATCGATTTTTTTTGCCCAGCCCTAATAAGAAAGTAACATTGTAGTGTAAAAGTGTTCATTTCTTTACTGACCCCAAACTTCAAATGGTAATGTAATCCATTTGCGTATCATAATAGCCTAAAGATGTTCAAGGTTAGATGATGGAAAATGTCAATTATGTTGCAATTTTGTTAAGGGCGTGGCATTTACTAATATTATAACCTTGTCTTAAGCAGGCTGGAGTTTTTGTCGTAACCAGTAGACAGACCGCCACAAGCGACAGGAGGTTTTGTTGTTTGCTTGGTTTGTATTTCAGTAGCAGTTTATATTCAGTGAGCACAGACTCATTTCTTAAGTTTCAGGAATATAAAAATGCTGCACAAATTGTAGAATATGATATACCTCGGTATCAAGTTTCCATCAGCTCTTAGCACAACCGTGCTTTCATTATAAATCTCAATAGGCCTTTTTACTATGGTTATTTTTTTTTAAAATGACTGCCCATTGAACATTGTTACCGGATTCAGGGCCGTTTGGGTGAGATATTAAAGGAAACTCGCCTCACGAGTGTTGTAGTAATTCATGTCTATACAAGGCACATGCTAACATTCACTCCGTCTTTATTACTGCTCCACGTCAACCTCCTGGATCAAATTTACGAGGGGCGAACAAGAGCGAGAGCGCGTGTGTGAAGGAGAATAAGAACAGTGTGTGTTGTTTTGCTCTCGCCTCGAGCGTGTTCTCTCACACACAGGTTCATATAAGCTGTAATGGAGACGTGAACTTGCGACACTTTGATGCCTGTTTGTTTATGCTTCCAGTGCCGGTTGCCCCATGGGCGGGTCACAGACAGGGCAGAGAACACCTCTCATACCCTATTAAGACTAATCCTGCCCTGCAAATGACAGGTTCAAATCTCTGACCTCTGTTTGTTTTGACTTCCTCTCGTAAGAGCTTGTGTAATGTGCAGTGGATGGAGGCTTTCTGTGTCGCAGAGCCGTTTCCTCTGTGGCTCTCTCAGGAATAGAGGTGATTTACGGGGCGGACACAGGTCCCCACTGTGAAGCCCACTGTGAATTACTGCTCCGTCTCATTAAGAAGCTCTCTAAAATCCTCACTGGCTCTAAGCCGTAACATGCCTCGAAAATATTTTTGCTTCGTGTAAACCAAATACAATAATAACAGCAATGTTTACATTTACGTTAATGTATTTTTGCAGGCACTCGTATCCGAAACAACTTGCTGTGCATTCAAAGAGTAAATGTGGTTAGTGTGTGTGTGTGTGTGTGTGTGTGTGGTGGGGGTGGGGGTGGGGGGGGGCGGTTAGGGATTTGAATCCATAACCGTGGCAGCTTTGAACATGGCTAAAGCTACTTCTTTCACATCAACATATAACATCTCAAATCTTTTACTGATTTTGTATTAATGTGTCATTCTGTTTTCTCTCTGACAGAGACATCAAGCCAGATAACATTCTCATGGATGTGAATGGACACATTCGGCTTGCAGATTTCGGCTCCTGTCTTAAACTCAGGGAGGATGGAACGGTATGTATGTTAGTTGTTTGAATATCAAGGAATATACAGATATAAGAGCACACTAGAATATTAAAGGAGTAGTTCACTTAAAAAAAAACTTTACTGATAATTTATTCACCCCCATGTCATTCAAGATATCTCTGTCTTTCTTTCTTCAGTCGAAAAGAAATTAAGGTTTTTGATGAAAATATTTCAGGATTTTTCTCCATATAATGGACTTCATTGGGAACCAAACGGTTCAAGGTCCAAATGAGAGTTTCAGTGCAAGCTGTTCAAAGGGCTTTAAACGATTTTAGACGATGAATAAGGGTCTTATCAAGCGAAACGATCGCTCATTTAAAAAAAAAAAAAAAAGTTTAAGTTTTAAAAGCTCAAATTGTCGCCTTGCTCTGTTCTGTGATGCGCGTTCGTGACTCTCCTGTTTGGACTCGTTTATTGAAATGAACAAATCTTTTCTTGTGTCATTTGGTTAGTTCAACGAACGAAATGAACAAGTTGACTCTGGAAAAGATTCGTTCATTTTGATGAACGAGTTTGAACAGGAGAGTCACGAACGCACATCACAGAACAGAGCAAGGCGAGCATTTGAGCTTTTAAATGAGTGATTGTTTCGCTTGATAAGACCCTTATTCATCGTCTGAAATCGTTTAAAGACCTTTGAACAGTTTGCTGTATGCACTGAAACTGTCTGAACCGTTTGGTTCCCAATGAAGTCCATTATATGGAGAAAATCCTGGAATGTTTTCATCAAAAACCTTAATTTCTTTTCCACTGAAGAAAGAAAGACATGGATATCTTGGATGACATGGGGGTGAGTAAATTATCAGCAAAATTTTTTTAAAAGTGAACTACTACTTTAATCCTCATATTTCAAAGGAGGAGGAAGTCATCAGGATTGCTGTTTAGAGCTGATAATGCGTTTTATTGTTTTTATGGTTTTAATAAGTCAGACAGATCCTACAATTTGGCTCGAAAGCTTTACAGGAATGTGTAAATGCAAAAAAAACAAGACATGTTTGTTTTTATGCAAAGCTTTATTTAAGCTCTCATCAGTGTTTCTCTAGCTCAACAGGTGCTACCGCATATATACAGCATATACCTCATGGGCTTAAAAAAGTCCCATGAGGCATTGCGGATTACATAATCCATTACTGAAGAAATTATTTTTAATATCACTATGGAGAAAGTGAATGAGAAAATACTTTTGGAACCAAGTCTGTCTTATGCAGTGACATCCAGAATATATTTTTAGTGTGATATAAGTGTTCAACTATTTTTGGGATCAGTTTTGGATTGGTTTCCCCATAATTTAGTTCACTCGCTGTCCTAAGAATGTTTTGCCTCAATTTTATTCAGCAAGCATGCATTAAATTCGTCAACATATGTAATGTAAAAAAAAATATTTCAAAGAAATGCTGTTCTTTCTATTATATTTCTATTGTAAAGTATCATGTTGTAAAAATGTATCACAACTGTTTTGAACATTGATAATAATAAGAAATGTTTCTTGAGCATCAAATCAGCATATTAGAATTATTTCTGAAGGATCCAGTGTTGGAGTACTTCAGCTTTGCCATTACAGGCAAATTAATTTTTTTTAAATATTAAAATAGAAAACAGTTTTGAAGTTATGATTAAATAGTAATAATATTTTGACATTATTTATGTTTTACTGTTGTTTAATTAGTGCAACCTTGGTGAGCATGAGAGAGAGGTTTTATATATACTGTATATATATATATATATAAAAAAAAATAAAAGCAATACAGACCTAAACATAAAGCAAATTTGCCTGTGAATGCTTTATATAAATACAATATAGGTTGGTCTAAATCTGGGTGATCACTTATATCAGTCAGTGTTATATATAGCCTCTATATCATCATATCGTCCAGCCCTAAAACTTTATAGTTTTTTTTTTTTGGTCAGTGTTTATTAAAAAAAACATCCAATAATGCAGAATATGAGTTTTTAACATATAACAATGCAAAATATACGGGTTTGGTTTTACACCTAAATTCAGCATATTGACACAAAATGATAACTGCAAATCCACCTTTCGCTGACTGGAGTCCAGTTGTTTCTGTGAATTGCAGCGATCCATTTGCTCTTTCTATAGCAGTCTGTAAAAATATACCTCAAATCTAGTTATACAGTCAATCGCAAAGCTCTTTCCCACTTTATACGTGTTGTGTTTGTTTTTGCTGGCATTCACACTGAAAACAAATACAGCCGCTCAGTCTTTTTGCCACTCACTGTGAGTAACTGCAGGCAGTCCGGCCGACGGTGACGTCACACGCATACCCTCTATTGTATTGCAAAACTGGTACATACATAGGGGACCGCTTCTGTTTCAGTAGCTATGCGTAATACATTACGATATGTGTACTAAAATCAGCTCAAAATATCAAACACAATTTGATCATCTCCGCCAGGACGAAATCACAGTCGGAAGCTAAAAATCAGAGTCTGCGTCCATCATACACTGCGATTTTCTCCGACTGGCGGAAATCTGTATACTTGCACACAGGGCCTGAAATTAACACCCGACCACCTGCCAAATGCGGGTGAATTTTGCTATTGGCGGGTAACACTGTCAATCTACCTGCCACATTGGCGGGTAGCCAATGAGAATTGAGTGATTCATTAGGATTTTTACATTTCAACGAAGTCCGCTATTGCGGTGGACTTTAGCTAAAATGTGGCGGCACATTACTGGGGTAAAGAGGCCAGCTGAAACAAAACAAACAGCCAACAAAAAGATGAGGATGAGAAAAAGAAAAGTAAAGAAGACATTTTAATACAAAGTGAACAATCGGCGGCAATGGCAAGGTTCGTGAGCGGCTGATTTATGACAGCGACTGTTGATTCGTAACGTTCATGCGATCAGAAAGAAGATGAGGCTCTTTTTCTGACTACGTGTGCGAGTATTAAACTGTTGATGAGATGGGATGAGATAATGTAATGCGTCGCTGTTGTAGGTTACAGTACAATGACAGTTGTGTGTGCGTGTGCAACTGTGCATGTTGGGAGTTGGGAACCGGTGAGAAAATGTCCGGTACCCGGTAATTTTATCAGTAATAACATTATTAATTTAGTTCATATTTAACCGTTCCTGAACGCTGTAACTAAAAGCTGTTAAGAGTAAGACCTGTACGTGACTAAATCCGCCATCAACACAGCCGCGTGTGATTTGTTTACGAGCTGCGGTAGGTCTATCTGTTGAGTATATACTATATATGTTGTGTGTGTGTCTGTCAAAATCAATGAATAAAAATATATTTTTTTTAAATGTATGTTATTAGAGTTATTATTACTTGACAGCACTAAAATGTGTGTTCTTACAAGTTAAAGAACAATATTGTGAAATTCCCGGGTTTTTTTTTTTTTTTTTACGTTTATGAGGCAAAAAAAAAAAAAAAGGCTGGTAAAAAGTCTCTGTGGCGGGTGAATTTTTAAATCCACCTGCCACAGTGGCCGGTGGCCGAAAAAATTAACTTCAGGCCCTGCTTGCTCAGACTTTCGGCAACTATTGTTGACTCATCTAAAAAAACCTGAGCAGAAGTGGTAGTGTATTCCAGCCTTAAAGAAAATGCTACAAAAAGAGTTTTAGGTCACCTGACACATGCTCTTTCATCTAGTGTTCTAACGGCAAGGGCTTCGACAATAAATTTAGAGTTGTGCTTCAAAAAATAAATATATAAATATATACATATATATGTGTGTGTTGAAGAAATTGGGCTCCAGCTGAATCACGTAGACACACTGTTTTAATATAAAATAATGGGAGACCCAGAGGACACCCTCGGTTTGAAAGGCAGTTGTATTTCAGAGTTGTCTTTGAAGAAGCGGTGAGTATTTCACTTGATCTGATATGTGCTGCTGTTTTCTGGCACGTCGCAGATAGCTCGGCAGGATATCCCCCCGACTTCTGACAAGAGCAGCGTGAGTGTGGTCTCTGCGTGTTCGCACGTGTGTGCCTAACTCTCTTCACATGTCCGTGTGTCTTCAAGTGTGTGTCACTGCCAGCGAGAGCAGCTAATTTACTGCCTCACTTCCACAAACTCTTCCAGCTGCACACATCTGCCACAGGCTGCATTACAGACAGTTTCCGGCAGCTCAGCCCACTTAAACCCAGGCCAGGAAGCTCCAATCATCCCCCTTGTTCATTAGTGATATCTCTAGCTTTTCTCTCTCTCTCTCAATGTGGTCTGTGCTCTGAGAGGGCTTTGTGTTTCCCCTAGGCCACGCCCACCTCTGCTGGCTGCAACCAATGAAATGGCTTGAGTTATTCATTAGCATTTTCTAGGGATGAGTGTTGTGCCAATAAAGACACATTTTCAGGGATCAGCCTCGTTCACTGACAGGATGTGATGTGATCTGCTCAGACAGACACTGAACCCTTCTCTGTTTCTGTTCTCAACATGCCAGGTCCTGAATTTTCCGGCAGTCGTAATAACAAACACCACAGTAAATAGATGAATCTCATGATACCTGTCAAAAACACAAGAAAATGAAAAACAAAAGCCGTGTTCTTGACTGGTTTTGTGAGATTCATGCAAATAACTGCATTCATGCAAAATCATTGTTTAAAAAAATCTTTACCAAGCACCTACAGGTAGAGACCTGACATTGTGTCCTGAATTGACTTGTCCTGTCTTTATATGTCTGATCCAAAATATGTTTAAAGTTTAAAAACCACTAGACAGACTATTAAAAGGTAGATAGACCCTTGACTAAATAGCAGAAAATGACTATGGGTACAATTTAGTACAAACCTTTTACAGACAAGTATGGCTGTCAACCAGTTCCCTGTGAACTCAACTTGTTTCCAGAGCAGAATCCATATATGTTGCAAGTGTGAATTAAACCAATCCAATTAAGCTTTCTAAATTGAGAATATGTGTTCCAGTTTTGGGTGCAATATGCTGCCTTTTCTCCTGTTGAACTTTCCGGCATGTTCTTAAACTAATTTTCTATCCTCACAGGTGCAGTCGTCTGTGGCTGTGGGCACTCCTGACTACATCTCTCCTGAGATCCTGCAGGCTATGGAGGACGGGAAAGGGAAATATGGTCCCGAGTGTGACTGGTGGTCACTGGGCGTCTGCATGTACGAGATGTTGTACGGGGAAACTCCTTTCTATGCAGAGTCCCTGGTGGAAACGTATGGCAAGATTATGAACCACAAGGTATAGACTCATAGCAATGTTATTTTAAAACAATAATCCATAAAAGGCCATACAGTGCAATGATTTTACAATGCTTTTTAGGTATAAAACAAAGCTTTTAAGACCACACTCAAAAGATTTTTTACATTTTCAGCTTTCTTTAGTGTGTAATGTTGCTGTTTGAGCATGAAAAACGTCTGGAAAGTTACAAAGCACAAAGTCACTCCAAAGGGAGTTAATCTCAATATCAGGAGTTTTCTTCCAGGAACAAACGCATCACTATATTCCTCATTTAAATAATTCCCGCCCAACAAAAAAGGGACGGGGCTTGGTGGAGTTGCATTAGTAGTGTGTCGAAACTTGCAGTTGTGATAAAGGGCGAGATGTTTCTGAAACACGCTGGAAGCTGTTGCCCAATCATCAAATATTTAAGCATGAAAACTTATTCTTGTAGACCCCCAAAAACAAAATCAAGACTGTAAAAGTGCACAATATGTCCAACTGTAATGCAGAACACTTAGATAAAAGCAACAGCAATTGTGTCTCCAATATTGTGTCTTTATTAAGTGGTTTTCTGTTCGTACCCTTTTCCCCGCAGGAGCGGTTCCAGTTCCCTGCCAATGTGACGGAAGTCTCGGAAAATGCCAAAGACCTGATCCGCAGACTCATCTGCTGCAGAGAGCACAGGCTGGGTCAGAACGGCATTGTGGACTTCAAACAGCACCCCTTCTTTTCCGGCATTGATTGGCAGAACATCCGCAACTGTGACGCCCCCTACATCCCTGAAGTCAGCAGCCCATCTGACACATCAAACTTTGACGTGGATGACGACTGCCTCAAGAATACAGCAGTATATTGCACTTTTGTTTTAGACCTACCTTAATGAGATCACACATTGTTGGGTTTGAACCCACCCACCCAGATCTTTTTTTAGAGATGCTACAGCTTACGATCTCTGCTCTGTTTAGGAGACAATGCCACCTCCTTCCCACACTGCCTTCTCAGGACACCATCTCCCATTTGTAGGTTTCACCTACACCAGCAACTGGTAAGATATCACTGTAAAACTCATCTGAGGTGATCATGCTGGAGATGCAGGTTCAAATCCGTCCTGTTTAAAACAAAAATCAGCCCTAAATTTGATGACATCTTGACTTGTATAAGTCTCTAGTGCAGGAGTTCTCAACTCTGTACGTTCACATCGCCGCTGACTTGAGCTTCCATAGCGCCCTGAAGTCGTTCATTTTTCAATGGAAGCTGGCTTTTCTCAGCTGCAAGGAGCGTCAAATCCATCGGAGTCACATTTTGGGCGTCAATCAGAAAGTTAAACTTTATGGTAATGAGCTGTGACGCGGTTCAGCTGCAAAACGCCAGCAACCAATCGGAACATAGACGTCCTTCACGCTGGCTGATTCCGGAGGAACATACACTGTAAACTTTCGTTCCTACCAAAACATACGCCTTATTCACGGCAGCGCCATCTTTGATTTTTAATGAGAAGGAAAGCGAGGCTGTGAGGGATAGATATGCATCTCTTCAATGGGCTATACTGTTATTTAATGTGTTTTCGTTTTGTTCTGCTCATGAAACACTGGAAAAATATCTTACTAAGAAATGTCAGTTGACAAAAAACTCCCGACAATGTAAGCTGTGGAAAATTGCAAGTAATCTAGGAGCTTTATTCAGCTTTTTACAGCGGATACCATTGGAAACACGGTAAGTCTATCCCTCACAGCCTCACTTTCATACCTGTCATGGCGCTGCTCTGAATAAGGTCTATTAGTTCCAAGAAAAGGGAAGAGAAGCTAATAACCGCCGTTGCTGGGTTTCCTACTGGTTTCCTATCATTTATGCTTTTGTAATCAGAGGACTGGGCTGAAACTACGCACATAGGCTACTTTCTCTCTCGCTTGCTCGTATAATTACGTTCACAACTCAGCAAGCAGCCAAGCACACAGCGTGCAAACTAAATATATAGTTTTTCTAAGTTACAAACCCAAACCCGAGGCCATTCATTAAACATTCACCCAAACCCGACCCGAAACCCGTGAGCTTTTCGGGACCCGTCGGGGTCTTTTTAGTAACCCTGAAGACCTCGATTAGCTTGTTCAGTTGTGTTTGATTAGGGTTGTATCAAACCTTTGCAGGAAAGTGGACCTTGAGGGTCAGAGTTTCAGAACCCCTGCTCTTGTGTGATCATTTGACCCCTGACCCTGTTTTCCCAAACAGTACACTGTCTGACCGCGGTTGCCTACGGGAGTCTGCGGCCCCTACGCAGATGGACCTGGGCGTGCAGCGAGGCCTGGAGGACAGTCTGGCTACTGAGGCATATGAACGGAGGATCCGGCGTCTGGAGCAGGAAAAACTGGAGCTCAGTCGCAAACTACAAGGTGTCTGCACTCAATGTCCTCTGCTTATTATCTGCTGAAATAATCCCAGAGTTGTTAGTCTTTCTGGCTGACTCTCGTAATGTCTTCTGATCCTCAGAGTCCACAAAAGCAGTTCAGGCTCTGCAGCACTCCAGCGCGGACGGGCCCGTTTCCTCCAGCAAAGAGTTTGAGATCCGTGGACTGAAGGAGGAGATAGAGATGCTAAGGAAACAGATCGCAGGTAATCTCATATAAGCTTGAATCACTCATATTTTGCTTGATGTGACTAAACGTTTCATGTTTATAGAGGTTTTACTTACAATTTTGATCAACATAAGTTGCTGCTTTTTCTCATACCAAGAAATGCATGTTTTTTTTGCACGTGACATATAGAGTTGTGTCTCAACTGAATCTCGGAAATACACAATGGGTCTCATTCATGAAATATTCGTAAATATACGAGTAAATATGAGAGTGATTTGCTCGTAAAGAGACCTTCCCGAACACTCTTTTCCTGATTCACAAATACTTCGTAGACGTCAGATGTGATAGTGAAATGTGTGTGTGTTAATGAATTTCAACCAGTCGTAAATGGCATGTGCGTGCACGTTCATTCTCAATTACCATAAATCCCGCCCCATTATATCTGACTGACTACTATATATAGGCATATAATAACGTGAAGGCGAATGAAAAAGAAAGATTTCTCGGATGCAGAAATTGAAGTTTTATTATCAGAAGTTCATTCAAAATGCCACATTTTAGTTTCAAGCGTACATAGTGGCGTAAAAAAGGTCCTAAAAAAGGTAATTTGGCTGCATATTATAGATGCAGTTAGTGGAGTTTCATCTGTTAATCGAACTGTCCCAGAAGTGAGAAGAAAATGATTCAACATTAAGCTTCTTAGGCTTGGGCGGTATATTACGGTAATATCGTATACCGCGGGATCTAAAAATAGCAACGGTATCAGTTTCAATATCGTCATACCGTCAGAAAAAAAAACAATGCACTTAAATAGGAGACAAGGAATCTTAGTCTCCTATATAAATGCAATGTTTTAAATACAATTCATTTAATGGCTAAAATGCTTAGCCTATATCTGGTTCTCATGATGTGACAGTTTGGTGACGAGAGAGTGGGGGAGAGAGGGCAAAGATTGCAAGTTGCGCACTGAGTGACTTGGTCTCGAAGAAGAACACGACTTCTACAGTTTGGCAGGGATGGGCATTTCAAGCAAAAATAATATTTAAAGATTGCCTGGTATTATTCGATTATTATTTGAAAATTATGCCCCACCACCACATGCACGCACACATGCATGTAGTCTACAGCGGGCTGGACCGTGTGACGCTTAAATATAAGCTAGGTTTGAAAAAAAAAAAAAACGTATTCCTTTCATATTTCTTTAATAATATGATGTTTTTCTATGTATGTTGATTTTATGTAAAGGGAACTTCATGAGATGAATAAGATAAGATCATAAAATGCGCAATATCGGAAAACATTTGGAATGGGTTAGTCAGACATGATTATGACCACTTATTACGTTTTGTTTTGTAGAAATCCTTTCTTTAAAACGAATTTCGTTTTGAATAAATTGCATCTTCATTTTAATTTTTTTTCATCAACGAATTGCCTGGATTAATTAATAAAAAAGCAAATATAGTGATCAGGACATGCGCCGGCGCGTGACTGGAGCGCGACTCATACATGAACTGAACCTCGCATATAAGAAACAAGATCTGAGAAGTGTATATATATATAGTAAGCTTGAAATGTCTACTTTTAAACAAAACAAACAATCTAAAAGAAATGGGCTGCTCTCTGCTTATGTTTAGGCTAATTCATATGAAGTGTGCATTACTCTTTATTCGCGTTCACTACCGCGAAGATGCTAGTTTGCGTCGTCAATGCAATCTTTATCTTTGCAGCAACTGACATAGAAAACACGTTTGGTCAGTCAGACATGATTATGACCACTTATTACGTTTTGTTTTGTACAAAGCCTTTTTTTAAAACGAATTTCGTTTTGAATAAATTGCAACTTCATTTATTTATTTTTTTCATCAACGAATTGCCTGGATTAATAAATAAAAAGCAAAGATAGTGATCAGGACACGCGCCGACGCGTGACTGGAGCGCGATTCATACATGAACTGAAACTCGGCATATAAGAGACATGTCTTAATGATCTGAGAAGTGTATATAGTAAGCTTGAAATGTCTATACTTTTAAACAATACAATTACAAGCTAAAAGAAATGGGCTGCTCTCTGCTATAGGCTTATTCATATGAAGTGTGCATTAGGCTACTCTTTATTCGTGTTCACTACCGTGAAGATGCCAGTTTGCATCGTCAATGCAATCTTTATCTTTGCAGCAACTGACATAGAAAACACTAGTTTATTAATAAATAATTTTATCTCGGCTCGCGGCGCCGAGTGGACAGAGCTCGTGGCGCGTGATCTCCATAAATGCGCTCCCCTCTCTAGAGGAAATATCACCACTCTGCTCACATTCTCTGGTGTGAGACAATGTGCATCTCCTGTTTTCTAATAGTTTATTGACAGCTTTTAGATGCATTATTGGAACCGACACTCTCTGGTTGAACGTGTCATCATGTGTGATGCCATCTGAGCCTTATCTCGTAATTTTTAATTAGTCGCGCGGTAATACCGTATATCGCGGTAAAATAGGGAGGAGGTTTGACGGTGTGAAAATTTGGATACCGCCCATGCCTATTACTATATACATTTTTTTTTTCAAAACGCTGTTTAAATATGTACCCGATTAAGTCGAATTAATGCAGCCTTATTAATGCGCACCATTTACACGTGGCCGGGAGCAGGTGTAGATTTCTTTCGTACCAACATTTGGAAAATGCGAACATTTTAATGAATCCGAAAATTTACGCCAGAACCACTTTACAGACGATTTACATGCAAATTCGTTCTGAATCATGAATGAGACCCAATGTTTTTAATCTCTCACATTGTTGTTTGTCTCTCTCCTCCCCTTTCAGATACAGGACAGGTGGAGCAGAAGTTAGAACAGGCCAGTTTTGCCCACAGGGATCTGGAAGACTCCTCCAAACAGATCCGATCTCTAGAGAAACAGCTCAAGAGCATGAAGCAGGAAAGAGATGACCTGCAGAAGGTACAACTTCAACTGCAGCTTCTCCTTTTACCGTCAGTTAACGTTAGTAATAACGTTAGCTATTGACATATCGTCCCTTTGGAATTATAAGGTTCTATCTGACATTTTTGTCAAAATTAAGTTATTCACATATTCTTATTCTGTGACAATTTATTTACATTATGTGATGTGTTTTGTACATTTAGGGTCCCTGTTATTTTTATGTTTGAAAGTTCCCCATACACATTTTCCTATATGTAATGCAAAAACTTTGAAGCTCAATATCTCAAAACTGTTCAGAAAGCAGATAGAACCTTTTAATTCCAAGGGGACGATATCCGACCAAACTACAAACTTTCCAGTGATGTCTGTGAAAAAGCGATATGCGATCGACAAGCTTGCAAGACTGTACTGCTGCACGCTCAGTCCACTGCGCATTTCGTTTACCAGCTCACGCACAGCAGCTATATAGGCATAAATATTTAATTTATTTAACATGTCATTAATTCAATGCATCTCAGATATCTCCATTCTGCTCTCTGTTTGCTCTGCTGTCGGTTTTTCTTGTTGTTGTCGGTTGTTGGCATCGGAGCACGAGTACACAAGCACAGTATCGCAGCATCATTATAATCTCTAATTATAATGTAGAATTAACACAATTATTAATAGTAATTCAGTGATTAATCTTTTGGCTATAGGGTCTGCAGGACTCCTCAGAGAAGCTGAAAGCTCAGGGGAAGGAGCTGAAAGAGGCAGACAGCCAGAGGAAAATGGCCATGCAGGAGTTTGCAGAGTTGAGCGAGAGGGTGACAGAGCTGCGGTCACAGAAACAACGACTCTCCCGACAGCTTCGGGACAAAGAGGAGGAGATGGATTCCCTCAATCAGAAGGTGGAAGCGCTTCGGCTGGATGTGCGCAAAGCTGAGCGGGCCAAGAAAGAGGTTAGTGTGCAGGAGAACGGCTGATCTGAGGAGTGTATTTTATACATGTGTAAAAACTGTGTCTGTGTGACTGTGTAGATGGAGGCCCAGACTGAAGAGTGGTCTGCTGAAGCTCAGAAAGAGAAGAAGTTGAGGGAACGCAGTGAGCAGTACAGCCGACAACTGGAAGAAGAGCTGGAGGGAATGAAGGTTTGTGCACACAAACACACCTTTCCTCTGAAAATAAAGCTGTCGCGGTGATTTTGCCACTGTTAAAGGGGGTTTTATGCACAAAGGGACAAGCATGTGGAAATGCTTTTATTAACTCTTTCCCTGCCATTGATGGAAATCAAAAGACACATGAAGAAGCAGAAACAAGCGATATCATATGTAAGCAGATGCATACCGTAAAACTTCAAATAATATCCGAGTCACAAATAGACGCCTGTCTCTTTTACACGCCTGGTGTGGTTGCAGGTTTGGGTAAATAAAGGCCGGTCTCAAATAGAGGCCGGGTTTGTTTTTTTATTTTCGGGTTGTAGGCTATTTATTCTAATAAAACCCATCAAATCATCCGCTTTTTGGCGGGAGCTAAAGCAAATTTTGTTGAAGCAAAAAACACAAGCGCTGTCTTGCTCTCTCTCCCTCGCGCATTAATCCAAATCAATTGACACGATAGTAAAAGGTCGGAATACCGCAGTTTCCCGTGGGGCATTTGGAGATTTTTAGAGATTAGACTATAGGCCTACACTCAATGAACAGCACCTCAACACTAAATTATAAAGGCCTGTCTCATGTAGACGCCTGTCTCAAATACAAGCCGGTGCAGTTCGACGTTATGGGAAAATAAAAGCCCGGGTTATTATTTGAAGTTTTACGGTATGTAAAATAATGCGATCATCAACTTTAAACAGCATATAAATCAAAACTGCCTAATATTACAGAATGAAATGTGCAACCTTAGTTGATGGACTCGATCTACTCCATCTGTGTTTTGATCATCTTTCTGAATCCGATTTGGATGTAGTCTTTGACAAAAATGCGTTTTTCTGAGCTTTCTTGCTTAAAATGTTCCTTGTTTTATGAAACCTATTAAGTTTTTCTCAGCTTTTTGCTCAAAATGTTTATTTTTTATTGAAAATTAAATCCTAAATAAATCATTAAATTGATTATTAGTAAAAATATCAAGTCAGTTGGAAAGTGGGCAAAATATGAATGAATGAATTAATTAAATTTTAATTAATAGTAGTGTTAATTAATAGTAGTGTTTAAATATAGTGTTTTAATTACTTGTTATAATTAATTATTGAATTATTTTTTTCATCAATTTTAATACATTTTTGTATTTTAATTAATTAATTAATTAATTGTTTAATTATTGTATCTTAATTATTATTATAATTTATGAATGATTTCATAAATTGAAGGTTTTTATGCATATATATCACAAAACATATTTAATTTGTCACTTTCATTAATTTAATCTAGCTTAAAATGATCTGTATACATGTTTCTGATAATCTCCTTTTTTTTCCCTGTGTCGTAAAGCAGCAGAAGCAGGTGGGCCGTTCTCCAAGCGCTGGGGCCTCTGAGCAGAACCAGGAGCTCAGTAAATTACGAGCAGACCTGGAGAAGAAGAGTCTGTTCTATGAGGAAGAGCTGTCACGCAGGGAACTACAACATGGCAACGAACTGAAGAACCTGAAGAAGGAGCTGCGGGAAGCAGAGGGACAGCAGCTCACCTTGAAGAAAGAGATCATGATGCTCAAAGACAAGCTTGAGAAGACCCGCAGAGAGGGGTACCGATCTTACTACAAGAGATTGTTAAACGCCGCAATGTATTATTCTACTTTATAAGTCTAAGGGCCAGAGAGGGTGGAAAATGGTGATTGTAAAACTAAATCACAATTATTTGTGGTGCAAGGAACCTTGACTAACATTGTAAGTGGTCTCGAGGGGAAAAAAAATGAAATATAGTGAGTGTAGATCATGACCTCTTTAAAATAAGCTATGGACTTTGGCTTGTGTTAGTATGTTGGCAGTGTGTGTTGGATGTGGAGTAACCCTGATGCTCAGCTCAATAAATCATTTCACCCATTTCACAGGCAGAGCGAACGAGAGGAGTTTGAGGTCGAGTACAAACAGAAGTACGAGAGAGAGCGAGTGCTGCTGTCAGAGGAGAACAAGAAACTTTCCAGTGAACTTGACAAGGTGAACATTCACAAACTCCCAGAGCTGTCACGATAACTGAGTGTCAACATGAAATTGATGAGCCTATTTACTTAATGCACTGATGCAGGTTATTTCAAAGTTTTTATAATCGTTCTTAAAAGTGAAATAACTTGCTCTTAACTCTGAAATGACTTTGCTTTCCCATTGATGTCCTTTTGGCACTGCGGGTAATTGCATAGTGTTAACCAATATCCAAATATCTATTTAGGCGTTTGCTTAGGAAAGTCATATTGAGTGCTGCAAAAAGTTTATGATTTTACATGTGTTGTTCATCAAGATAATTATCAGAAAGGAACACTACTTTAATGAAATGTTAAGCCTAAAACAATCGTCAGAGGTAAAAAGGATAAAGCTAGGCTATAAGCAAACTACACCATGATCACATGACTTGAACGTCACCACCAATCTTTATTTCAGTCCTACAACTTGTAAAGAGTTAGAGTTAGAGTTAGATTAGTTTGCAAGAGTGTAGCTGTGTCTGAAATCACTCCCTATCCACTATATAGTGCAGGGTTCCCGCGGGTCCTTAAAAAGTCTTAAAATGTCTTAAATTAGATATTTAAAATTTAAGGCCATTAAAAGTCTTATAAAGTCTTATTTTTAGGTATGAAAGGTCTTAAATTTTAGATGACACTTCGACTCAGTCATATCTTAATGTTTTCCAAATTAAAACCATCTAATTTGCGTACGTATTAATTTTTATCTTTGTGGATTTGCTTGTTCACGTGACAATTCGCGTCACATTCGCGGCAGAATAACGTCCATCTCCTGCACGCGAGACAGGAGAGGAGGAGAGAAGAAAGTTGGCAAATGTCAGTTAAGTCGTAAGTTAATTCTTTATGTGCGTAGAGGTGTGCGATGTGTATTGTCTATTATGATACTCTATTCTTTTAACGATGGACGAGGCACTGTGAGTGTGAGCTGACATCGCATTTGTCTCTCGTGTTTTCACGGCGTGATGTGTGCAGTTATAGGCATAGACATGTATTTATTATGGTTATAGGTATGTCCCCAAATTAGTTTTTGGCTTATATTTATATCATGTTGTTATATTAGAATATCACATCAGTAAGAGTGCCGTTTCCCGTGCACAAGTGTGATATTTATGTTATACAATAGTTAAATTAAAAATAAAGTGACATTGTGAGTTAGTTTTTAGCCATAACATTATCGATATTGTTTGTTTTCCCTTTATTTCGCCGACTAGAATTTCTAAATGAAACCATAGCAGAGTCTCAATGCAACAGACAGCGATGATTTCTTGAAGGAAATCCGCGTCTTGAACGATCGAGTCATTTTAACGATTCAATCACTTGCTTCTTTCCCGTTTGAACAAATCGGTTGAATGAATGACTCCCTCAACTCGCTTATTAAGACAGCGATTTGCCGCCGCCTACTGGCGGTTTTAGTTTCATATTAAAAGTAAAAAATTAGAAATCATTTCACATTTAAATATTGAATATTGATTTTTTTAAAAAACCTTATAGCTTGATTTATGCAATTGTAATTGGAGTGTATATATTAATCCCACTTCTAAGGCTGCTTCTGCGTCTACTCTGCACTGCAAAGATGGATTTTTGATTGAATGATTTAATTAGACTGCTAACAGTGGTACTGTATAATTATTGTGTAATGAAATATTATTGTATAAATAAGTATAATTACTGTATATATGTGATGCACGTGATGCATAACTCTAAATAAGTTTAGAAAAAAAAATCTCCATAAATAGGTGAAAATGCCCTGGAAATCAATTTAAGGTGGCAAATATTGCACATTAATTAATAATTTCTGTCACTGCTGTGAACTGACCACTGCATAGAATATGAAAAATGTAAATATCTCCGCGAGTCTGCTGTCAACAACAGGCCTAAACCAGCCATGGCACCAGCACAAAAACACAATCAGTAAAATATCAACTAATTATTGTTGATAAAAATTAGTTGATATTTTACTGATTTTGTTTTTGTTTTGTGTTTATCAACAAAACGTGAAAATATCGAGATATATTTTTGTCAATATCGCACACCCCTAATGTATGGTATTAATTTTGATTTCTTCAGGTCTTAAAAAGGTCTAAAAAGCCTTAAATTTTACTTTAAAAAGTGTGCAGGAACCCTGTAGTGCACTATATCGGGTGTCGGCCATTTTGTAGTGGTCCGAATTCTGAGTGAACGACATCACTCCCTACATTCATTAACTACTTTTACCCACAATCCTCTCTGAATTCGAGTGTACATTCGATGTACACTTGCTGAAGCATTATTTCCCACAATCCAATGCGGAGAGAACTGAGCGCGCATGAAAGTCAGTCCCTCCAGGATTTCACGATTTTTTTTTGTGATTTTTGCGATCAAAATGACTGATTTTGTGGTGGTAATTTCCAAAAATTTGTGAAAAAATTTGCGACATTTATATATAATATTTACCATAATAGTTTTCAGTCCTTCCAGAAAAACGCGGAGTTTTTTTGTGATTGTTGCGGGCAAAAATTGATTGATTACGCGGCCCGTTTTCTTTTAAAATGCAATGTAATATGCGGGATATTTATGCAATGAAATTGCAGGAATTTGCAAAAATTGAGGGAACTTGCAAAAATTGCGGTTTGATGAAAAAGAGAAAGAGAAAAAAGTGATTCCCCCAACATCCTGTTCTCACTAGGCTAATGTAAGAGTCATTTCTTATTACTTCCTTTGATAAGCAAGCATACTACATCATAGAAAGTGCTGGGAATATTTAATTTCTCATCTTGTTTTATTTCAGACTGTAACGAGTGTAAATAAGGTGTGGCCCCTTTAAGAGCTGCGCGCTCCCTGTTGAACTCTCTGCAGTGTTATATGTGCGCCTCGAACACCCCATGTGTGCGGGTAATTTCTGTTTGATGCTACACTTCTTTTATCTTATGTTGTTTATTAAGTAACGATGTGACGGTAGAACGTGTGACAGACAGTTATACGAGTTCGATTTGTGAGATGTCAATCGCCTCCGTGAGTCTGTCTGGCGTCGCGTAATTGCGTCACTTCATAACGTTCCCATGGAAACAGGGGTAAATGGCTGCTCTTGTGTGAAGCAAACGCAACATTTTTCAACTTTCTACTAAGATACATGTGACTTTTTTTGCAACGAAACTTTTTTTGCAGCGAGGATTATGAAATTATGCAAACCCCGCATATTTTGCACGGAAATCTGCAATTTATGCGGCGAAAGTGCGGCATATTTGAAAAAATGTGGCCCCCGCATATTTGGCTGATTTTGCATTGAATTCAGCGATCGCATAATCGCGTTTTTCTGGAGGGACTGGAAAGTGCGGCGCGAGCAAGTTTAAACCAGAGATTACATTACATCCAGTGGAGGATTTGAAAAAATATCCGTTAGTCGTCGTTAGTAAGCGTATTCATTCGGATATAATAACGGTCTCCGGAGGGCGCTCGTCATCTGTGAGCATGAGAGTTACAATTTCAGTCGATGAAACTACAAAGCTGGCACATATGTATATATAATTAGAAAATAAATTCATTATGATTGGTATTGTTGTTAATACTATTTTATAAAGTAAGAAACGTAAGATAAAAAGGAGTTTTATCAGTACGTGTGACGAAGCCTTTTCTGCGACAGTTCCAACTCTCCGACGCACAGTGTAAACGTCAGCTTCCGAATTCACTCACTTCATCTCGTTCACTCCTTGCAGATATAGTGCACTCAAATGCCATACACTATATAGGGATTAGTGAATGAGTGAACGAGTGAGCGGTTTCAGACAGCTTGTGAGTATAAACAACGATGCTGTAAAAGCGAACTACTGTAAATGGGTTTTACTGGTCGACGTGACAACGTTTAATGTTACCGACTGTCCCATTTAGCCACATTTAAGCAACCACCTTTTCAATACACTCAAAAGCTTAAAAACTCACGAGCAGGTCATTACCCCAATGTGAACATATCTTGAACTTGTGTTTACCACAGACCTCATTTCAGGCATTTAACCAAACACCTATTCAAAGAAACCATTGACTTCAGGATGATAGAGCCAGAAGTGCAAATAGAAGTGCGATACAATCAGGTCCTGACACCTAATCATTTTCTCACAAAAACCTCACTTTATAGAAGTAAAACCGATCACAAACAGCATTTTTACATTGGCTTAAATATCTCACAATATTACACCAACTGAATCATCTCAGTGCCACTCATGTTGTTGTTGTTGTTTAGAGGGTGATGAATATTAACATCTTAAAAAGGTTGTTCACCCAAAATGAGAATTCTGTCATACCACTTTAACGCTTCAAAAAGTTTATAAAGAGATTGTAAAACAAATCCAAATGAATTGAGCGGTTTAGTCCAAATTTTCTGAAGAGACTCGATCGTTTTATATAATTAACAGATTGAATTTAGGCTTTTATTCACATATAAACATTCATCTACTCACACATCAGTGATAGTAAACGGAAGCTCAAGCCATGTGAGAACCAATGAGGTTAATTCTCGTGTTACACAGGACGTTTGAGCTTCATCAAGAACCAATGAGGTTTGTTCTTGTGAGTCCAGCAGGTTTGGGTTCCGTTTATGTTTGTTGATCAATGTTTATATAGGAATAAAAGCTTAAATTCAATCTATTCATAATATAAAACGATTGTGTCTCCTTAGTTGAAAATGTGTCTCTTCATTTTGACTAAATCGCTTAATTCATATGGATTAGTTTTACGTTTTTAAAGCGCCAAAGTTGTAGTCGTGTAGCTGTTAATGTAGGGACAGAAGCTCTCAGATTTCATCAAAAAGATCTTCATTTGTTTATTGAAGATGAATGAAAGTATTACAGGTTTGGAGCGACATGAGGGTGAGTAATTAATGACAGAATTTTTATTTTTGGGAGGACTAACCCTTTAAAGGGCACATATCATGCAAAATCCACTTTTTTAGCCATTAAATGCATTTTGTTGTATATTTGGAGTGTTTATAAGTACAGAAAAGATGAAATTGTTCTCTTCAGGTCCTTCGTTTATATCTTTATATTCTGTTTTGGTCATATTTTTCAACCTGTTCAGATTTTTCTGTTCTCTATTACGTTTTTTGAACAATTATGTCACAGTATTTGCAACGGAACTGACAAATAAGGACATCGACTACCGGTCCAACACTTTGAGCAATCCGCCATTATTATTTCTCGCTCCGATTTTGTAGTCCGAGCTCAATGATGCAGAAGTTATGAGAGGGCTAGTCAAAATGTTCGGTTGTTGGATATAGTGACCTGAAGCACTTCAAGAATCCCCACTTCAACAACCTCCGCCATTATACAGAAGCGTTTGCCGATCGACTTCGTCTGAATGAGGGGTAAATTCCTTCTATCATTTAGCTGCTGTGTTTTCTGGCGCTTTCTAAACGTAAGTTATCATATTATTATCAATACAGATTTTTAGTGGTAAGATCAGACCGTAGTCATTTATCTTGTCAGTGTGCTTGTTTTAACAAGAGAAATACTCGACTTTCGCTAATAACACAACATAGTTAACTTACATACCACTGCATCCATATGAAGACGTTGTTCTGCAGGTTCGTCGTCGTCTTTTTCAAATCGCTCGTTCTGGCTCGAATATGTAACGTTAAGGCTTGATGGACTGTCTGCCGTTGTTGACATTTTGTTAACGTGTGAATAAAAATGTTCTTTGAAGCTATAGTATCGTATATCTCTAATCAAACTACAATAATGGCCGAACGGGGGAGTTGAACCGACCGTGAACTCAGCGACCTGGAAAGCGGGCGGGGAAAGACGCAACTCCGTTTTATTTAAAGGAGTCGCTTTAAAACGACTTGCTCACAGAAGCACATCAGAAAAAGAGTAGAAAAGGGGCCTGTTGAGCTGTAATAATGAGGAATTCAGACCCAAGCATTGCAGTTATGCTTTATATAGACCACAAATGTATGATTTAAGTAAAAATGATTGATTTAAAAGCATGATATGTACCCTTTAAGTCTTCTCGATTGACAGTCGACTGTGTTTGTCATGTTCATTGTTTTACAGTATTTTAGACATGCCTTAGATTCAAGTTTTGCTTGTTTTCAACAATTTTAGCTACTGCATAAACTGTTTCATCTAGTAAAACTACTACGATTTGAAAAATTTGTGGCATACCAGTATTTTTAGGCTTGGATACTATGACACTACTGTGGCTCCAGGATGCTGTGCAACACTAACACATTAGCCCACAATCCTGAAACCACAACCTCCAACTCTCATTTTACTGAAGTCAAAGATTCCTCTTCACTTTTGATGTGGTCTTTACGCTGAAGATGACGGGAGGCTTCGCTTCTTAGTGGTCAGAGTTGATGCTCTTTTGTTAAAACCATTCATTAATTCTTGGTACCGTTTCTGAGCGCTTCAAATGGAGTGTAAAGCACACAGAGCGGTTAAAACACAGCCTTCCATGTGCGTGTGGCGGTTCGTGCTGCTCTCAGTGAGGCTGACGGCAACAAAAAAAACACACGCAAGAGATGTTTAGAGAAGAACCCTTGGAGGGCAGCACTCAGTTGTGAAAGAAAGAAAACATGCCGTTGCCATTTGCGGACTGAGTCTTTCCATGAGTGTGTTGAGCTGAAGATGTGGTCCACCATGCCAATGTTTTACTGGGAAGTCAGTCAGCATCCTCCCCCCTGTGTAAGCACAGGGAAATATGCTGATCAACAGACAGGAATCTGGAACGGTTATCCCGAGGACCACTGCGAGGGTTCAGCACTCCAGTCAGAGCGTGGTGTGAAATGAAAATGTTGAATAATGCAAGTGTAATTACGGGGTGGTCAACCTCACCAGCTCTTGCTTAAGATAGAGAGCGCATCTAAATCAGAGTTGACTGGATAAATGTGTACTAGCAGACATGTTTACTGCGAAGTCAACTGAGGCATTGCAGACGGAGGGGGTCATGTTTATTCATGAGTGTTTTGTGGTTAGGGGTTTAGGGGTGGAAATGTAGAGGGCATTAGATGGACACGGGTGGATTTGCATGGTGGTCCATCCTGCAGGCTCTGATTCTCTGGTCCGTTTAATTACATCTGCCCCTTCAAATTGCCGTATTGGTTTGTGATTTCCTGAAATGATGATGGCATGTTTTCGGGCCTGTTGTGTTAATTGGGTTGTGCAGGAGTAAAACCCTCAAATGAGTAGGGGTGGGCGATATAGCCTAAAAATTATATCACGATATTTCAAGAATATTTGCGATAATGATATTTATCACGATATAGAAAAAATATATATGAAACAATGTTTTATTGGTGATTGCAGCTGGCTGGCAGCAGCATTAGTGCAAAAAAAAGTATAACATAACTCCTTATCATTTTATTTTAACAATAACTACAGTAATACATTAACAATATTAACAATAACTTCAGAAGCCTGCACAATATTGTCACCTAATAAAATTTACCTAAACTTTGAAGTACAAAAAATGTAAACAAACAGCGGCAATCCAAACAAACCTTCAAAATGTAACAGTTGCCTTGCATAGTTTTTGGATTAGCATCAAATGAGGTATACAATACCTAATTTATACAATAATTGTATAAAATCTGAACATTTAGGGAAAAAACATTTAGTGGGGAATAAATAAGAGACAATTGTAACACTAAATCTGGTAAAACTTTACACATTGCTCTTTGTATTGTACATTCATGAAAAAAACAAGGTAACAAATCAAAAGGATTAATTATTATATAGCCTAGTCTACTATAAAATTGAGGCATGTTTAAAATGTATAGCACAGCTGTTTAATGAGGCAGCAACATATGATCGATAGGACAGAAGAAAGGCTATTAATAATCTTTCATTGCGCAAAAGTATTATGATATGAAAGGCTCCAATATATCGCACAGCGCGCACGCGCAGCGCGTCGAATACTCCGCACTGAACAGTTCAAAGCACAAAGGAAATAAATATTGATGCGTAGCGTCGTGTATAATATACAGCATCTAGCTATGCAATCGTTTATTGAGTCCTTTCTTTTAACAGTTTTACATTTCAGTTACTGTGCGCGTGATGAACAATAGTGCTCTGACTCTAGTGTTTTGCTCTAACAGACACCCGGCCGGTAGAAAGTAACATGATGATTTAGTTAACGTTACAGCAATAAAGTCCAGCAAGATAAAGTTGTGTTATGCGAAACCATATACCTTTTATTTACAGATCAAATATAATAATAGTAACATTGAATCATCTTAGAAAGAGTTTAATCGTGTTGACTGTTGTACCCGAACTGCGGAAACTCTGAAGGAAGATTAGGCGAATGCAAAATGTACGCTAGTAGGGAAGTGGTGAAACGAGTTTTCATGCATATTTGACAAAAAAAAAATTGTGTTGTTGGAGATCTGACCTCTTGTACTCAAACAACTTCCATACTATTGAAGTAGCGCCCTTTTTAGGAACTAAATCTTGATCTGATCCGGAGGCTGACATGCTGCTGTGTTGTTGTGCACGCGCTAAGTAACGTAAATACGCCATACGTCATATCATCAATATCGCGATATGACAATTTTTTATCATGTACAATTTTATACCGGTATTATCGTGGACGGTATGATATGGCACAGCCCTACAAATGAGGATAATTTTCTGTTCACTGAAATGAAATATATAGCTGGGTGAGGGATGTGCTAAACTACATTTGCAGAATCAAGTCTGTGGGTTGACTGAATGACTGTTTGTTCATGAGAAAGTACTGTATAATCAAATCTGTTCTTGCGTTCAAAAACATCATTGGTAAAGGTAAAGGTTTGTGCTTTTGAACGATGTCTTTTATTCTGCATTAATTTGATCAAAAACATAAAAACAATTATATTGTGAAATATTATTGCAATGTCAAGTCAAGTATATTTATATAGCGCTTTTCACAATATAGATTGCATCGAAGCAGCTTCACAGTATCAATCAAAACACAATAACAATGTTTGTTTCTTAGTGGAAAAACATCCACGTTTGGTAGAACTAATCAAGGGTATTACTGATTGGTTAATTCATTTGAATATCCCCAGCTGAGCAAGCCAAAGGCAACAGTGGCAAGGAACCGAAAAACTCCATCAATGTGCATTCATTCTATTTTAGCAACTTCTGTTTTAATGAATTTAATATACAGTCACAAACTTTACTTTATACTTTATTGTCCCATTCCTGGGAAATTTGTCTTGGACAACATGACACACGGCCAGTGCACACATCAATCACACACAAGACAATAAATACAATGACATACAATAATAAGCAATAACACATTTCAATTAATAATACAAGAAAAAATTAAATGACAATCTCTATTTAAAATTTTTATCGCAGTTGGAACAAAGGAGTTTTCATGGTCCTTCAGAAATCATTCTTCTTGTGATCATTGTTGAAAACAGTTAATATTTTTGTATAAACTGTGATCCATTTTTTATCAGAATTCTTCTAGGAATAGAAAGTGCAAAAGAAAAAACAGCATTTATTTGAAATAGAAAACTTTTGTAACATTATACATGTTTTAACTGTCACTTTTGATCAATGTAATGCGTCCTCGCTAAATAAAAGTAATAATTAAAAAAAACACTAAACTTTTGAATCTGTAGTGTGTTCAATAACATCTTGTATTGTGTGTAGACGATGTCCTCGTTTGAGAAGTTGAGCAGCAGTAACAAACAGCTGGAGGAGGAAATGAGAGAACTGGCGGATAAGAAAGAGAGTGTGGCCCACTGGGAGGCTCAGATCACAGAAATCATTCAATGGTGAGAAACGCACACATGCTTTTACCTTTCTGTGTAATCACCTTTTAATCTGGAATCAGTGCTCTTAGATTTTCATCTGATGGATCTGATCATACTTAGATTCAGCGAAAACTGAAAATGAAAATGATCAGATAAAAATAAAAGGCATTTTTTTCAGTTCCATTGTTAGTGTAGTTACTTCATGTTGTCTTTGCTGTGCATTTCAGGTCACTATGTAGTCTGTTGAGGTGCTAAACACACAAACTTATTACTAGAAGGGCTTAGAATTCACCACAAGACATGGGCGTTTTTGCCCTCAAACGATGGTACATTTTTGACCCTGTTGTAGGCCAGTAAAACCCTGAACTTTAAGGAGCAAATATATACTGCCTGACCTAAATAAAAGCCACTGTCTGGAATTAGATAATGATTGTCTGTGTCTTTGATGATTGGATCATTGTTGCAGTGATTATTATGTTTCTAGCTTGTTATATGTTTGGCAACAGTTCTTCTAACCCTAATTGATGGAGAGTGTAGCCTTTCATTTCTTAAGCAACCGTGTTGGACGACACATCATGGCCATATTCCAGGAGGACAATGTCAAGATTCATCAGGCTCAAACTGTGATGAATCGGCACCTCTGAGTTCAGACCTGAAATGTATTGGAGGAGACTTTACAGAGCGCTGGACTCTTGCATTTTCAATACAAGATCTTGACCAAAAATGTAGCACCTCTTGATGGAGATACATGATGAGAGGTTATTTCCATCAAGAGGTGCATACATTTTTGGTCAAGATCTTGTGCATGGTTGTTTAAGGAATGAAAAATGGATGCAAATCTAGACCTTGGACCCTGGAGTGTAGGAAGGATCTGAAAAGAGTGGGATGGGGACATCTTATTAACCTTAGCAGCTTGACTAATGAATATTAATTTTGCAACATAACATTTGCCCATTGCGTGAAAGCTTAAAATCACAACTGAAAAGCTGAAAATTCTTAAATGTAATACAAATTTCTCAAAAAGTGAAATAAAGGTTATTAAGCTGGTTATTCCTCAACATAATAGTAGTTCAATGTTAATTCACTTCTGCTGCTTTAATTGGCACCAAACCCTTGATATATATTTGCGTGGCCGTGGAGCCACCTTGTGGTCATGTTTGGTAATTGCGGTTTTGATCATCTGTTTTTCTCTTTCAGGGTCAGCGATGAGAAAGATGCTCGAGGATATCTGCAGGCTTTGGCTACTAAGATGACAGAAGAACTGGAAGGACTGAGGAACACCAGTCTGGGTGCACGTGCTACTGTAAGAGAACTAAACTTTGATCTTGACTGTTAACTTGGTTCTTAGTTTTAATAATAAAATTTATTCTAAACATTGACCTTTTCAAAATTTAAAGGATTTTAATGGCACCAAATCGTACTGCATTGAGACCCAGTAGATGATTAATTCTCTTTTCTTCTGGTTTTCCAGGACATGCCATGGAAGATTAGACGTTTCGCTAAGCTGGACATGTCTGCCCGTCTGGAGCTGCAGTCTGCACTGGATGCCGAGATTAGAGCCAAACAAACCATCCAGGATGAGCTCAACAAAGTCAAGGCGTCCAGTATGGCCACTGAGTGGTAAAACACACATCTCTCCTTTAAAGCTTGCAGTAGGACGTACCAGTCTGTACATCAGGAAATGAGTTGATAGGGATTAAAGGGATACACCACTTTTTTTGGAAATAGGCTCATTTTACAACTCCCTCAGAGTTAAACAGTTGAGTTTTACCGTTTTCGAATCCATTCAGGCGATTTTCTGATATTTAGAAGAATATCAGTAACCAGAGAGTTTCTGGTCTCATTGACTTCCATAGTAGGAAAAATATACTATGGAAGTCAATGGGACCAGAAACTGTCTTGTTACTGATATTCTTCTAAATATCAGAAAATCGGTTGAATGGATTCGAAAACGGTAAAACTCAACTGTTTAACTCTGAGGGAGTTGTAAAATGAGCCTATTTCCAAAAAAAGTGGTGTATCTCCTTAAAAAAGACTTTAGATATACAAAGACGGTGCATTCGTATTACAATGAATTGGAGAAATTTCAACATATATAAACATAATAAACATAATATGGCGGAGTAAATCCCGCCTTCTAAGTAAAAGAGCCAATTGGTAAAGTCATTGCATCACTGCAGCTGCCATTAGAAGCTGGTGGCCGTGCCTTTCACACCTAGGCCTTCAGTGGTGTCCGACATGAATTATTGAACTACATGAACTTTTAATAGTGTACAGACTCTTTATAATTGTTGTGATATTGCTGTTTTTATTTCGCACCGGCAGTTATAGGGTTAATGTGTTGAGTTTGGAAAAGATCGGGTAGAGAGAAACGAGCGAGTGAGTTCAGCTTGTGCGTTAGTACAGTGGTTCTTGCGTTCTGATTATAAGTTTTATAAGTTTGTTTGAAAAAATAAGAAAGAGGTTTTGATCATAAATGTACAAAAAAAACTAAATCATATTTACCACGGAAAAAATTGGGGCAAAAAAGGCGTTAAACACATCAAACCTACTGTTGATTACTGATCCTTCCTAATTTCTTTCCTCTAAAAGACTTCAATTACTTGGTTGTACAGGTTATCTGTGCGTTCGAGTCCCAACAACCTTTTCCATCACAATCGAGGCTAATGCTGAAAGTCAAGTCTGTTTCGTCGTATTTCTGGCGTACTGTAAGTTTTAATTCACTTTAGTGCTGAGAATGTCCGGTCGGCAGAAACAGTGGACACAGGGACAGTCACCGCAAAACATGACGATGTGTACAGCTGACCCATGCTCTCGCACAAATTTTTGGACGAAATCAATGAGATCAGTGGGACTTTTACCTTCAAAATCAAGGCATACATTACAGTCAGTCAGTTGGTTCTGTTTTTTTACCCGGGACAGATCGAATAGTGTTCCGTGACTGAAATCGAAATCTGATTGGCTGATTATCGGATTGACAACAGTTGCATTGCCATTCATTTAAGCTACAGGTGCCTGCACTATTGATTCTGAACGCCTCAAGGCAGATTTCTTTGGCTTTGGCAACACATTATGGCAGAAATATAATTGGATAAAAACTCTAACATAAAGATACACTACTGGAAGCAGCACAACCAAGAGAAAAGCTATGAAATTAAGAGAAGGGACTATTAGGAATAATTTAACACTCATTCATGGAAAAAAATATATTAAAGTGCATTCTGATTTAGGCCACCAGAGATGGCCTTGACGGCCCACCACTGATACTAATAATTTAGTAAAAAGTGAATTGACCAGTGGCCAGTATTCATTATTTAAAAATGGCCATATATTGGTAAATGAATCAGGTTATGGTCATTACATTGTGTCTGATTCTGTTCTGCACAGTAAGCTGGATGAGTTGGAAAAGAAGAACGAGGACCTGCAGGCAGAGATCCAGAGGCTAAAACTGGAAACTGAGAATCTGCGATTGTCTAAAGGTAAAAGCCTGATCATTTGAAATCAATCAATGATATTTTTCATGGTGTATATGTTTGTATGGGACATTAAAGTCATGTTATGTGTTCTAGGGGTCAAGCACCAAGACTCCCAGAATTCCTTCCTGGCCTTCCTCAATGCTCCAACCTCCGCCGTGGATCAGTTCGATGTAGGTGTTTGAATGAAATTGCAGCATTTTTGACTTTATAAGATGAATTCATTCTGTCTGCTTTTTCATTTGTAAATCAGAAAATAATGATTTATTGATATTTATGTTTCCTCTTATATCCCCTGTCTTTACTGTGGATTAAATAACTGGCTGAAATACGTTCTCGGTTATTACTTCTGGGCTTTTGAGACCATCATTTTAAAATGGAGTAAACGTGCAAATCCTTTTCTCTGTGCTCATGTATTGTTTGCTCTCTTTTTATTTATTTCTCTCGTTCTATCTGTCTGTTTTTGTCTGTGATGAAGCGCTCCACTGCCAGTGGGCCATCAGGCAAAGGCAGACCTGTAAGCTCCTTTTGTTGTGTTTGGTGCAGTGGTTCATCTCTGTTGGTTTGATTGCGTGACTTTGATGCATGTCTGCGGTCTGCTACTGCATGGCAGAAGCGACATATCCACACTTCCCAGAGGGTCTTTCGTGTGCACATGCTTCTCTGTCACGTTCAGGGTCAATTCCCCCTCGGTTCTTCCTCATCATGAGCATTTGGACTGCAAACTGACACTTTCTGTAGCTAAAACATACTGTATGCAAACATTTTATTCCATTCATCTTGCAATAGCAATTGAGGTTTGGATGACTCAACTTCTAACTCGCTTTTGCATATAATTGCTGTTTCTAAACAACTGTGAAGGTGTTTGCGTTTCAGATTTCTGAGATTCCTGTCAAGCATAGTTGACATGTTGTCTTGGTCTTGTTTGAGTCTGTCCTGTCAAAATGCTGCTAATGTGCATGATGTCTTTTCAAAGAGTCAGTTGTTATGTTTAGCAGGCATGTCTTGGGTCTAACTGCATTATGCTGCTCTCCATCTGCTGCTCATAGTTCATAGTACAGCTGGATCGGTTCTCTAAACGTTTCCTTTCTCTAACCTTCTCAATAGATTGATTCCATCGATAACTTCAGCCTGTCCAACACACCATCCCGGGAGGAAGATGGAAGATCCCAGGTCACGTCACACTCTCGCTCGCCCTCAACTACCAGCGATTTGCAGGAGTCTCAAGAGGTGACTTCACATTGTCTGAGCCCTTTAGCAACACTAAAACTCATTTTGGGCAAAGCCATTTTGGATGAAACTTAACACAGAGCTTGTTGCAGTGTATTTAGGGATTGCCTTATCCAATACAGACATAAGATGTGGTCAGAAGCATGTGATTAGATGCCTTTATAGGGCTGTCTAGGTAGGGAGCTGAGCAGGTTTTTGGAACAAAGCTTTACTTATTTAGAAAAAGAGACTGTGCAGTCGATGCTTTAACATTTCTGATAGGCTGTTAGCATGCTGTGACTAATAGCCGTGACTATGTTTCCAGCAGGTAGATCATCCACAACGAGGCGCTCAAACACCCGTTCGATCAGGATACAGCAGCTCTGGTCACAGCACACCTAAAGTAACTCATTTTCCTCACATTCTACAACTACTTTCATATCAGCCAGTCAAACATATCTTATATTTAGTAATATGTTGTAATTTTGCTCTTTTTAGCCAAAGGCCCATCAATTCGTGGTGAAGACCTTCAATACGGCCACTAAGTGCAACCAGTGTACTTCTCTAATGGTGGGAATCATTCGGCAAGGCTGTACTTGTGAAGGTAAGGGCTCAGCTGAGGTTGTCATGGAAATGGTAAATTGTAAATGACGTTAAGATTGGCATTCACCTTGTTCTCCTCCTCCTGCAGTCTGTAATTTCTCCTGTCATGTGACGTGTGCGGACAAAGCTCCTGCCGTGTGCCCGATCCCACCGGATCAAACCAAAGGGCCGCTGGGTATCGACCCCCAGAAGGGCATCGGCACAGCTTATGAGGGCCACGTCAAGGTTAGAAGCTTTAGTTTAAATCCTCATCACTTTTTTGTAATCAAAACTATTACTGTTAATATTACTATCAGCAGATAAACATTACGCTTTTATCTTCCTCGAAGATGGACCAGGATTAACTTATTATTTCAACCTATAATGTTTTAAAAATAGTCTGTCACTAAATTAAAGGGTTAGTTCACCCAAAAATGAAAATTGAGTCATTAATTACTCACCCCCATGCTGTACCAACCCCGTAAGACTTTCGTTCATCTTCGGAACACAAATGAAGATATTTTTTATTAAATTTGAGAGCTGGATCACTCCTCCATAGACTTCCTTAGGGACTAGCACTTGACGGCCCATAAAGTCACTAAAGAAAATGTTTAAATATTCCATGTGCCTACAGCGGCTCAATTATAAGTTTATCAAGCGACGAGAAAACTTTTTGTGCAGTTTCCAAATTTTCTGAAGAGACTCGATCGCTTTATATTCACATATACACATTGATCAGCGAACATAAACAGAAGCTCAAACGAACCTGCTTGACGTGGGAGAACAAACCTCATTGGTTCCTGTGGAAGCTCAAACGTGCTGCGTAACACAAAGATGAACCTCATTGGTTCCTGCACATAAAGTTTATATATAAAATCCTAAATTCAATTTGTTTATCATATAAAGTGATCGAGTCTCTTCAAAAAAAGAGGACTAAACCACTCAATTCATATGGATTAGTGTTAACTTTTTGAAGTGTGAAAGTGGTAGTTGCATAGCTGTCAATGGAGGGACATAAAGCTCTAAGATTTCATCAAAATGATTTTAATGTGTGTTCTGAAGATCAACGAAAGTCTTACGGATTTGGAATGACATAAGTATGAGTAATAATGACAGAATTCTGATTTTGGGTGAACTATCCGTTTAAGATGGACAGTTTTGAAGAACTAATTCTGATATTTTCTTTTAGGTGCCGAAACCATTAGGTGTGAAGAAGGGGTGGCAGAGGTCCATCGCGGTGGTCTGTGACTTCAAACTCTTCTTGTATGATCTCCCAGAGGGCAAAACTGCTCAGCCTGGTGTCACAGTGAACCAGGTTATTGACATGAGGTCAGTGAGAACTTCAAAACAAACATCTGGTCCTGTCTTTGATTCTAATGACTGCGTTTGCATGACATCTAAATCGTTCTCTTTGTTCGCAGGGACGAGGAATTTTCAGTTAGCTCAGTTTTGGCATCAGATGTCATTCATGCGAACAGGAAGGACATTCCCTGTATTTTTAGGGTGAGTTGAACATGATTGTACAATATTTTATTTACAGAAGTTCACATTGGAACTGTAATTTAATCAAATTATTTTGTGCCTGTGTTCAGTGATAACATTTGAAGTTGTTGTCCTCTTCCTCTCCTGCAGGTGACAGCGTCACAGCTCTCCTCATCCAGCAATAAGAAATGCTCCATCTTGATCCTGGCCGACAGCGATCAGGAAAGAACCAAGTGGGTTGGCCTACTGAACGAGCTCCACCGCCTCTTGAAGAAGAGCAAACTTAAAGAACGCTTCGTTTACGTCCCTAAAGAAGCGTATGACAGCACATTGCCTCTCATCAAAACCACACAAGCTGCTGCTATTATAGGTACAATCCACCACATCCCCATAATTGTAGGTTTATAATGTTAATGTCAAGGTTTTATTACATAACAATCATTAAGACTTCCATATTTGTATAATCTCTGATAT